AGTAATAGACATGAACCTAGTCATGGACGTTCAGTTCTAGACACAAATCTCAATCAGGCTTTCTTATTCAATACTTCCAGTTTTTAACCCGTTTTTGCTGTTCCAATATCCCAGCCCATTTCAAAAACAATAAATTATTATATTTCATCATTTCAAATAATAACTAAAAATAGGACTGATGGACTCATTGCTGGTGCACACGTACACATCATTATTTTTATAATATATAGTAATACATAATATATTTTACTAATTTGTAGCATAGAATAATAATTAGAATAAAATATGTTTAAAAACCTGATCATACAAGAGTACTTGTAATCAAGTTTCGACATTTTTCCATAATTAGAACTCTTTGTTACATCGCACCAGTTTTGAACATCAAAAAAATCCAACAAAATAAAAATCCAACAAACACAACCTCTCTGATCTCCAACAACAAGTGTGTGCTGTTTTCATTTCATCATTAACCCAACAAACAAAACACATTCTGATTAAAATAAAGCAATACCAGCTTAAAGATACTTTTTATTTATCGCACTAACAAATTCCTTAAGAAAAGCAACGAATATTAATTTTTACTTACCGGAAACCTTTAAAATCCCGCCACTTTTCCATCTAACTGGCAGAATGAAATAAAATTTGAAACTAAAACAGCTTTAGATCTAAATTATACGTCACAGTATTTCCAACATAAAAAAGTGGTTAACGTCCTTAATCTTGGATATTTAACTATTTTTCCTCCATAACTGGGTCCTTCCATTACTGGTGCGTTAACCCTAAATTGAATTCATTCATTTCGGCAAAAATCACAAGTGCTTATAAAAAGACTGATTTAAAAACAAAGAGGGACAAAATACGTAAACAACCCATGGTTAGAAACTATTCTGACTGCACGGCTGGCGCGGTGGCTGGGTAACTAGTTGCCGCGCAACGTGTCGCGAGTTGGATTCCCTCACGGGACAACTCTATAAGTGATCTACAAATTGTTGTTCCTGGTGGTCCGGGTGTGATGTGTATGTGAAATTGTATCTTTGTAAACACACCCACGACGCAGGAGAAAATCCTAGTGTGGCGCAAAGTTTTCTTTTAAAAAAGGTTTTTATTATTTTTCACTGGAACTGGTAGATACCGTTATATTATACGATTAGATAATTATTGGTTTGTAAGAATACTGATATTTTAACTCGGTCCCTCAAGTGATAAAACTACTTAATTTCTACATAGGGTAATGAAAAATCTAATAAATACAAGTATTACGACTTTCGTATTTCATTACTGCCATCAACTAAAATCACACCTCATCTAGGTGCAAAATGTTTACCGGGATGACCAAAAACCAGTACATCGCCCGCCATGTGTGTATTCTCCACGTGGCATCGCAAACAACAAAGACATTTGAAACAAGCGCTCTGCAACAAGAATAACAAAACACCGATAAGGACAAGATTTTTTTTTTAACAAACTATAAAATCTTACCTAGACGGCATCGAGCTGAAACTGAATAACATGAGGGTCCTGAAACCGTCACGTCCGACAACACCACCTCGAGACTATTTAGAGAGTACCGATGTCGATATTGTCGATATATTGTTTTTTGTGAGATGAAAATCACTGAGGTTGGACGGAAAGTCGCAGGTCTCAAGAGGAACTAGGCTGGACATTTTCATCCCCGTCCCACAATCCGGGCTGAACACCGGCTCTGTTAGGCCTCATACGGTGGCGGTCTGTTGGCTTATTGAGGCGCGCGGGACACGCTTCGCACCGTACGTATAGGTCTAGTTCTGGATAGGCGGCAAGCAGGAACGCGCCCGCAGGCTGCAGACCCGTGCTTAACGTGGTCGGAGGTCGATCGTAGTGGCTGTTTATATGTAATGCAAATGCAAATAACCCACGCGTATTCTCTAATGGCGATTGCCAAGCATACTAGGATTAAGTGACATGATAGATTATTGGAGATGGCAAAATCTAGGTATTTCAAAACCTAGACAGTATACTGTGTTAACTTTGAAAACTATCTTAGCCGTGAGTTTCGCTAGACAAATTGTGTTTCTGGGTGTGGAAATATAAGTTGGATTGTGTATGAAATTTAAAGAGACGAAGATTTTATTGCCACTACTACAGTAAAAGCAGTAAACGACAACAGAGGAAAATTATCCTTCTACATTGGGGGATTTGGTAAAATCGAAGTTTCGAACAAATATAGTCGAATAATGGTGGATAAGGCTCTCATTAATTGACGAATAACTCAAGCCCAGAATGTTATGTTAATAAGTATTACCTATAAACTATCTTCCGCCCGCGACTTCCCGTTATTTGTTAAAATAAGATCTAATTACGTACAGAAAATAAAATAAACTTAGTAATAGGATTTTTAACTATTTAATTTTATTTTACTTGGAGTTTTTTTTTTGCTCTTGGCAACTGGTGAAGCTGCGGTCGGAAGCTAATTTATAATATTAGTAGGATATGAAAGTTTGGGAGAATGGATGGATGGTTGGTGGTGGTTGGTTGTCATTTTGCGTGTTGTTTGTGTGTTTGTTGCGTGTTGGTTGAAATTCGGTACGTAGCTAGATGATACTCTGGATTAACATATAGGCTACTTTTTATCGACATAGCACGCAGGCGAATCCACGTGCAAAATCTAGTGTTGACATAAATTAGATATCGCTTATTGATCGTGCCTTACTTTAAAATACTTAATTACTTAACCAACAAACATAGGATAATATTAGGTGCTAAAAAAACAAGTCACTCCCACAAATCTCCGTAGTTTTCCAGGATTTACCTGGAAAACAGATCATGATCAGACTTGGTAACAGTGGGAAAAACTTAAAAGTAAGTATAAGCTCTCAAATAAAAAACGAATTATCAGAATCCACTCTCTTCGTTGTTGTCGTTTTAAAAATAACCATTTCCATAACATAATCCTGTTCTTCCTATTATCAAGACCTGCTATTGTGACTGACTGAGTTGATATTTACCCGCAAGAACAACAACTACAACAGCAAATCCAAAATATCTGTGTAGTACCTGTAACAGTGTTACTTGTACCTGATATTGAGACGATAAATACGCGAATAAATCAGTGTATGTATAATCTATGGTTAATGCTGATATTTCGCCTGAACTTTTAAGAATAGCTCTTTCTTTGGCTGACGTTCCTTATGGCGGGACGTCGTCAATGCACAGCCGAGTCATGGTGAGTTTTTTATTCCAGTTTGTTTCCTTTTAAATGATCATCGTCATTAAGTCCTAACTATTATGTTTCATGTATACGAATACGATATAATATTTGCACCAAAGGATGTTGATTTATGAATTGTCTTGTCTTATGGCGGCATCGTTGGAATCGGCGGCATTTGAAATTTTTACCAGTCTTATTCGTTGTTCTTTCGGATACTCGCTGCGTACCTAAATGTATTAAAATGTAGCTATGATCCACCGCTATTTTTACTAATTCGACGCATTTGGAACAATAAGTAAAACACGTGTAGGTAGATTATCGAAAAAGTTATTTTAATCTACCTTCATCCGTAGATCCGTTATTAAAAAGGTGGGCAACGTCTTTTAATAATTATTTAACACTAAAATTTTCTTTTCTTTGTCGTGGGTGCGTTATCTACGTACAATTTCACAATTTTATAAATCAGCTCCACATCTTGACCCTGAACAACAAATTGTGGATCACTGAAACGATGGTTGTTCCGTGCTGGAACACGAACCCGCCACGTGTTGCTCGGCAGCCAGTTCAATAGGGCAGTCAAAATAATTTAAGTAAATGACAAATCAATTGGAGGGTAAGTATTGCACATAATTATGAAATAAGTGAAACTAAAATAAAACATAGTGCAGTAAAATATAACTTTATGGCGTGTGATATACTTACATAAAAAATCCAGCCAAGATAATAGTGCTTAGAAGATAGTAGTGGTAAGATGCCCCAACAGCCATACTTACACCGTTATTAAGTACCTATCTACTATATCTATATTAATACTAGTATCTTTATAATTGGTATCAGCTTTGGCTAGGTCTATTTCGAATATAAATACAAATAAAGCAGTGAACATTAATAATTGAAGGTTTCATTGAGGAATACAGTTACACGTTCTTATCATGAGATAATTAAATTTAATACCTGTTGATTTTGCACTTATTTAGGTTTTTTTAAGTTTTCAAACCTACGTACAAACCTCCTCTGGACTTCCACAAATAATTCAAGACCAAAATTAGCCAAATCAGTAAAGGCATTATTGCGTTATATTTTTAAAAAGAGTGTCTATTTACTCATAAAAACTGTGAGCTATATGATTGTTGATTTCACCAGACACCCAGGCTACGAAATGCGTATGGCCTATTCAAATACTTTAGCTCGTCGATGTCTTTATAGTCGACGTGGCATGGCAGAGTAGGCCGCCCAAATTCGATTGAATCGAAGGAATTCTCATATTCCACAAGAATTAACAGAACACGCTAGACACAATGACTGCTTATAGCCCCTCGGTCTTTTGTATAATGTGGTTGGTTCTGAAGGCTGGAAGACCTCTAGCCTTCGTTCGAGACGCTTCGTGATGACCCTCAAAAATATGTTCTATACAAAGCTTAGTCGCCAGGTTATCACCCCTTTTGAAGACCAGAACCACCACGCTTCTGGCGTAGTTCTTCAAGTGTGATGGAATTGAATAGGTTCTTGAAAGTACTTAGATACCTGCCCGTTTTCAACCTGCTTTCATTTTTTGAAAGCTCTAGAATACTAAATAAGTATTTTATAGTTCGATTTGATGTCAAATCACATGATTTTCTTATCTCTGATTATTCGCCGTTTAGAAGAAACGTTATTTATTCACAATGGATTTGTGAAGATATTATTAATAATCTACTTAACACAGGTCTAATGTTGTTACACACGTCAAACAATCTGATAACTAATTAGATATAAAACAAATAATACATTTTCGACCAAAATTTCTTTTGCCTTAAAAAGGTGAGTACCCAACATGGATTCAACTATGGATGATGACAGTGGCCAATCAAAGACCCGTGGTGCCAATCGCTTCTCTCTGGGTTACAAAAATGGTCCAAACGACGATTTGATTTATTCCTCTGGATTTGATAAACATTCTTCGTTGCAACAATACTGCGTGAATCACCCCACCTATTCGAGAGACCGGCATTATTGAAAAACTTTTGCACTCCTGCGGATTTATTCAGTGCTGTGAGAGACAGGCTCGGCTGTTCTTTAACTTTAGCCAATTTAGCGGTAATACTGAAAATCTGAAGATAGGAGACCCTGTTGAGTTCGAGTTGCAGTATGACCGTCGCACTGGAAAGCCAATAGTTTCAACGGTGACCAAGATTGCATCTGTGGTATATAATGTACCTTTATCTACCCCTACTTATGTGTTTATATTGCGGCAATGAAATATATGTTCGTATTTTTATTTCATTCAAGGTGTTAAGAGGAACCCGCGCTGGCCGAGAAATGAAGGAAAAGGGTGACAGTACTAAAAAACATTCGCATGAAAATGGTCGTGAATCGTTTTTTCCTTCTAAAGACGACGTTGAGGGTAGTGCTTTGCTTACTGGTGACGCTATCAGTTTGCAGAAAGCAACAAATCAGCGGTAACTTTCGAATCTAAAGGCTAATTTGCATTTGATATTTGTTTATGTGTCGAATAACAGTTATAACATTACAGAGGTACATTCGGAGCGTGTCATTTCCGCCTTCAAAATCCCGCGCAACCTGGCAAATATCACAGACTGGTTGGTTCCATAAAGGAAAACTTTGATTTCATTACTAAAGGGGACCTAGTTTTGGGAGATGATGTAGAATACTTAATTAAAACAGGAAAAGTAAGATTTATACTTACAAACTTAGTTTTATTATAATGATGTACATATTAAATAGTATTTATTAATAGATGTTTACCATTCTCGTGTAGGGAAAGAAAGTGGCTTGTGACAAAACGCAATTGTCAAGCGGTTCCGTAGTGTTTGACGATGTAAGCTCAGAGATAATGCGCGGGCAAATGTTGAAGCCATTGGAGCGCAGTTTCTTTCTACGCGCGACTCGTAACGGTCTCCTCTGATAGAGGTAGGTACGTACCTTGTCTGCTTGACATTATAAAGAAAACAAGTAACTTCTATTCATCAAACACGTGCCTAGTCTCTGGGGTTTGCTATATAATGCAATCATTGATTTTGCCTCACAATTCCTTTTAAACTTGGTAATGGTAGAACGCAAGTATATATAACTTCACAGTTACCTATGCTGTTGATCTCAACAGCATATGTCTGATGGATGCATCGGGACTATGACATGCCCGACATATGTCAACCGTCCCATTTTCATATCATATGTCCGGTAGTTATTTATAAAGATTACTAAATCGACGCCAAAGTCAATACCATGGCAGTGAAGAGCGTGGGATTGAAAGAAGTGTCCGTGAAGCTCCTTGCCATTTATTATTTAGGTATTGTTCTTTTTCTAGTTTAACTTTAATGTAGAGGATTAATGTTTTCTAGTTTATCATTAATTATTGATAGCATTAACTTCTAGGTGAACATACTGTTTCGTAGATACTACTTACTTAATTTCTGTATTCTGAAAATACATTTTGTAGTATGTTGGTATATTATTTATATATTAATTGTTTTGATTACAGAATTTCAGCAAGATATCTCGATATGACGAGGCCTCGTTCAATTTTAGAATTAAGTCTTACCAAATTAAAAACATAAGAAAAAATATTTAAACTCAAAATATTAAGAACCGATTGTTAGAAAAGTCGTCACCAACTTAACTGACAAATTTTACAATGCTTACCAATATTCAAGAGAAAGAAAAATAGGGATGTGGATAATGGATAATCAGAGACCAGAAACAGAATAATTAATGAATTAAAATTTACAATGTTGCGAGGCACTTGTAAGAAAGGAGCAGTCTATATATTTGCTCGTTATTAAATTTATTTTCATTACCTGGCTGGCGTATACATATACATTTTGCCAGAACTTCCAAAAACTGTTATACGGGCCAGCAAAAAGAATGTTTTTTTAGATCATGCTATTTGCTTCCACACGCATTAGGAACATTACAAAGAGTGCACCGCTCCACAACCAGATGAGAAAACTCCACAAGCAGGTAAGAACTCTTATTTCAGTCAACTAATTGATGTAATATCACCACCGCCAATTAAGCCGTTACCACTACTACTACTGTTTTACTTATCTATTCTACTTAATTAATTTTATTTTTAATGTTATATGTAGATGAGAAGAGATATTTTAAAAATTTTGGCCAGTGGGCGGAGTCCTTAGGCACATAAAAAAACCTAATTTTCTTATATACATAATACCTAATCAAAAATCATAGCCGGCAATCGTTGTCAGACGAGGACAAAGATTGCCGGCTGTGCGACGCTTTTAAGCCAATATGCATGCATCGAATGTTGTTGTTCTCAACCACCAGGTGCATTATTTAGAAAAATGGGGAATGCCAAACTTCGACAGCAACCATTGTGAACATTGTGATTTTTGATACCTAAGGAGGTACTTTTGCATAAAAATACGGTATTTGACAAGTTTTGGAAGTAGTTTTTAAATGATTCTTTTTTGTTTATTATAAACGTACAAAATGTATCTAACTGCGAAATTAGGAGTATAAGTAATTATTAGGTAGGTACCTAAATATTAAAGAATATTAGGAGAACCATGCTTGCAGAATCAAATCCATGTTGAATGGTATAATATCTGACTATAATGATTAAATGACAAGACTGTGTATTGGCAAGCCTAGCGATTCTAAGTATTTGTTGATTTTGTCTCCAGTCAGCAGCTCTACGGAGGTTCCACTGCTCTAGCACTGGTCAGTCTCGCGCAAAGAAGTGCGAAATGTGTGAAAGTACAGAAATCAGGTATAAATTTGTATCACTTAGCTGCTGCAGCTTTTCAGAACACGAATGTCTTACCATTGCTATATACTCGTAATTACCACGGTTTTGAGCAATGATTTTCAATTGAATCATTTGAATTTGGCATGAATATCTTTTAATTAATATCAAAAGCTATTTTATATTAATATTTAAGATGTTCATGTAGGCTTTATTAGATATTAATTTTCTGACGCTCTTGTCTTCCACCAGGGAGGCTCTATCTCCGTGAGGAGTTACCCAAGAAAAACGTTGAAAGCCACAGGCAAAACGTTGAAGAACTAAATAAAATAATATTGTGCACAAAGAATACAAACCGGTTAGTATATAATTTTAATAAAAGTTTATACACTGGACACATCTAATGGTCCACCTTGTATATTCAGTATCGTTTGGTCCTTGCTAAAATTTTATATTAGCTCAAATAGTTTTTATCCAGTTTTGAATCTGGCACATTCACAATTTGATTCAATAGTCTTTTTTTGAATTTAGAACACAGAATTTAAAGAAACAAAAGACGATTTGGAGCTTGTTTGTTGATATCTAACAATCGAATTAAATTTGTATCACTGCTGCTGCTTCTGTTCAGAACACGTAGTCAAGTATGACTAAGTATCTTAATGTCTTACCATTGCTATATAATTACAAAGCATGCGTAGCTGTACTCAATCTGCTCTTATGCTTCCTTTTGTGCCAGAACGTAAAATGTCATTGAATGCGCGAAACTTATCAATTTATAATGTGTTTATAATTATGTTTATTATGAGATTGACTTCACCCCGGTTTTGAACAGCTGGCTAGATTACATTTTTGTCTTCAATAGAATCTGGCATGAATCTACTACATAGAATAAAGAGAAGGGCAGTAGGCTATCTTCGGCCTTAGGGTTGTCACTTTTACCAAAATTTTTAGTCAGCTCCTATAAATTGGCAAGGGTCGGGAAGTGGTATTTTTTACTTGTATTGTCTGGGTAGGTACAGGGTTTGTGAGGTGTGACTCTTTATGTCGCTAGATGGCACAGGCGGTAACATAGACTAAGAGCTAGTGTTAATATTATTTTCTCATTGTATTATTTTTTAGGCATAATGTAGTATTTTTACACATATTGTTAAGACACCCAAACACACAGCAATACGTTCTCCTGTGATTATCAGACATTTTGTTTTGATTTAGCGGTGCCGAAAAACAGTAACGCGCGAACCTCGTGCAGTGTTAGCCCCGACTGGCGCACTGAGAAACGAGTCGAGATTTTGTTACAGTGTGTGTGCGTTGACGCGTAGATACTATGGCGCACACATACAAGCCGCGCGGTGCGTTTTTATGAAGATAACCTACTTTCCTTCTCTTTATACTGTGTCTACTAGATTGGTGTTTTGTATAATTTATTACCTACTCAACTGCTTTGAAGTGATTCTATATTATATTGACTTTTATTTACATTAGCATAAGATTGCGTATAGCCTTCTACGAGTAGTAGACAAGTATTGATTAATTATGTGAATAAAGTATAAGAAAAACTTTTTCAAAACGTGCGAAATGTATTGTCATAATATTATTGATAGCCTGTGTACATAGTCTGGCCATAAATACTGTCACAATTAAAAATAAACAAAATATTACATTTGAATTTGGAATCTGTCATTTTTATATAATTTCTCATTGTGTTTTCTTATTTTGGCGCCAATAAATTGTTCAATATTTTGCGATATTAAAATAGAGTGGGGTGATAAAGAGACCCGAATCGCTGTGATTGCATTACACAAAAGATCTTGCCGTCCACGTAGTGTTCGTACGAAAAAGGTGGTCAATGCAGTAAAGGAAAGAATTCGAAGAAATCCTGTCCGAAAGCAACAGATTTTATCTCGAGAGATGAAGATAGCACCTAGAACCATGTCGCGTATTTTTAAAAGACGACTTAGGACTTGCAGCCTATAAGAAACGCACTGGACATTTTTTAAATGATAATTTAAAAAATAGGGTGATAAAATCTAAACAACTACTGAAGCGGTACGCAAAGGGAGGTCACAGAAAAAATTTGTTTACGGATGAGAAAATTTTTACAATTGAGCAACATTTTAACAAACAAAATGACCGTATTTATGGTCAAAGCTCTAAGGAAGCTTCTCAATTAGTCGACAGAGTGTAACGTGGGCATTATCCAACTTCAGTGATGGTTTGGTGGGGTGTTAGCTATGAAGGAGTGACTGAGCCATATTTTTGCGAAAAAGGTATCAAAACATCGGCACAAGTCTATCAAAATACCATTCTTGAGAAGGTAGTTAAGCCCCTTAACAACACCATGTTCAATAACCAACAATGGTCCTTCCAGCAAGACTCGGCGCCGGGTCATAAAGCTCGGTCCACGCAGTCTTGGTTGGCAACGAACGTTTCCGACTTCATCAGAGCAGAAGACTGGCCGTCGTCTAGTCCCGATCTTAATCCGCTGGATTATGATTTGTGGTCAGTTTTAGAGAGTAGGGCTTGCTCTAAACGTCATGATAATTTGGACTCCCTAAAACAATCCATACGATTGGCAGTGAAGAATTTTCCCATGGAAAGAGTGCGTGCTTCTATTGATAACTGGCCTCAACGTTTAAAGGACTGTATTGCAGCCAATGGAGACCACTTCGAATAAGCTTTTTAAGCTAATTTAAATTGTTTTATGTTTATGTATTAAACTTACATAATGTAAAAGTAATAAATGGTATTTGAATTGAATATTTCTTTTTATTTGTTACAGTAACAAATAAAAAATAAAATTTTCAAATTTAAATGGCTAGACTAGGTATATCAGCAATTTGTTTTATTATGTTTATCTTGTAATTACTAGCACAAGCTATTTTATAACAAATTTTAACATGTTCATGTAGGCTTTGATAAGAGATTATCGTCCTAACGCTCTTGTGTTTCTCAGGGAGGAGTTGTTGAAGAGAAAGGTTGAAAGTCACAAGCAAAAGGTTGAAGAACTAAATAAAAAATCACGAAGAATGCAAGAATATCTTCAGTTGTTGCGGCAATTTACAAACCGGTTACATAGGTTAGTTAGAATTGTTATCACAATTTTAGTACATGATATATGTATGTTTATGCATAAGTTAATTTTTCGGGTCTGCGGACAGTGCGCAAGAGTACCTCGCTCGTAGACCCGATCGTACGGCTCATAGCGTCTCGCTAGTGCTTCACAGATACCAATACCCCACAATATAGTTGTACTGTGACTACACTGCGGAAGAATTGGTTCAACATGGTTAATGTTCAGCCGGGATAGCCGTACGGGCAAGTACACAATAATGTACCATGCCTAGTCCTTTTACTCGTTTAGTAACTAAGTACTTAGATATTTTAAAGCACTACAATTTTACGAAGGTCTGAATTTGACGTGATGATCGAGCCGAAATATAGACGAAAGGACTTGAGGGCTTACAGCGGAGTTTTAGCTTGATTAACTTGCATCACCGAGAAGTTAACACCTAGATGATTAGTTAATGTTATGAGGGGTCTGGTGATGAAGAATAATTCATCACAATAGCTAAGAAAACTCTTCAACGGATAACAGTAGCTACCTTGTGTTTTCTGCTACCTTTCCTTAATTATACCGTGTATCGTGTTATATTAATTTGTAACATGTTCATGTAGCCTTGATAAGAGATTATAGTTCTGACGCTCTTGTGTTTCTCAGGGAGGAGTTGTTGAAGAGAAAGGTTGAAAGTCACAAGCAAAAGGTTGAAGAACTAAATAAAAAAAAAATAGGCTTTTGTGTACGAAGAATGCAAGAATATCATCAGTTGTTGCCGCACTCTTCAAGCCGGTTAGTATTCAAATTTTACAAAAGCGTTTTATCTGGGTGTTCTACGATATGGTAACAAAAGTAAGATTTGATTAATTTTGTCGAATGCTGCCTTATTTTTTTTCTAAATTGCTATGCATTCTTGTCTTCTTATATATAAAAATGGATCGCAAAATGTGTTGGTAAGCGCATAACTCAAAAACGCCTGGACCAATTTTGCTAATTCTTTTTTTGTTGTGTTTGTTATTGTCAGGAGAAGGTTCTTATGAAAGAAAATAATATGAGAAAACTAGAGGGGAAGATAAGGAAAAAGTGGCCCTTTGATAGCGAGATAGTTGGACCCGTGCGAACCTGGGGCGGGTCGCTAGTCTGTAATAATAAATACCGCGAATATAAAGTGCATATAACTATCTACCGTAGCACTTTGACAACGTTTTTCAGTATTCTGAAAATCTTGTTTTATACTTTTTACCGACTTCTAAAAAAGGAGGAGGTACTATGTTCGGGCTATTGGTTTTTTTTGTATGTTCACCGATTACTCCGCCATTTATGAACCGATTTCCAAAATTCTTGTTTTGTTTGATTGGATGAAGGTTATACTCCCGAGAGGGTCCCATTTTCATGACGTCAGGATCAGATTATGGAATTTTAGGGAAACCGAGGGGTAGTTTCGAAAATTGTGGGGGCGAGTAGTGATTTTGCATGTTGTTTTAATAGGCTGTTTACAACGCTACAACTTGCCGATGGTCGAACTCGACCTGATGATGGAGCCTTAAGACCGTCGAGGGATCTCCCGCACTATTTGGAGTAGTTTCCTTGTATTTGGGCCTGAATGATTCGTATTGGTGAGCATTTTGCACCAAGATTGGTCGTCACTGTCATTAGGGGTCTGATGATGAGGACGAAGGACAGCTCAGGGAACTCCTGAACGGTTCACAGTAACTACTTCGTGTTTGGACTTAATTCATTTATATCGATGAAAACTCACACACCAATATGGGTTACAATGAAGTTATGGAGTAAATCTGATGATGGAGCAGGAAGACTGTCGTGGATCTTTTTGACCATTTGGAGTAATAACGTTGTGCTTGGACATAATTCATTTAAATTGATGAGAACTTTGCACCTATATGGATTATGTAAGTATATTGAAGGTCTGCAGTGTACATGATGATGGAGACCATTGACAGTCGAGGGAATTCCTCACGATTTACAGCACTGGATACTGACCAATTCAGTACTTCTATTTCCGTGATTTTCGGTCTCAAGTAGCCGTCGTCTTTTCATTAGAAAACCATTATACTTGCTTGCTCTGCCTATTACTTAAAATGGTGAAATAAATAATTTTTAACAAAAATATTCCGACTTCAAAAAGGAAAATAATATGCAAAAAATAAATTTTCATTGTAGAAATTAATGCATGTTTTCATTTAGTTCAATAGAAAATAATATTAATAACCATTTAATAATCTAGTAAATTTGATTTTCTTATGACGAAAAGTTAAGCTGTAAAAAAATATTTACCAACACGCTATTTTGTTCATGAATGCCTATTCCTTCTAAATGGCTTGGTGTTTTTTAATAGATCAATCGGTGTTACATTTTACTACAAAATGAGCAGCACTTATGTAAATCGGTCAATATTTTGCAAAGAACATGTTATATTATTGGGATTTCCATATATAATAAAAAATCGGGCGAACGCAGCCCTCACCAGTCGTGCTCTAGTATGCTCAAGGTTATTGAGGGTACTATACGCCTTAACTTCTGGGGTTCAGTTTCGGTTTACTATTATACAGTATATCATTTCAAAACTTTCTGTTAGTATTTTTTTTGTAAATATGGATATAGACATGTATAAAGCAAACCATGAGGAATTAAATCGTGTCTAAACTTTTGTTTCAATTGTATATAATTATTTGTTTATTTTGTCTCCAGTCAGCAGCTCTACGGAGGTTCCACTGCTCAGCACTGGTCAGTCTCGCGCAAAGAAGTGCGAAATGTGCGAAAGTACAGAAATCAGGTATAATACTCAGGTATCAGAACACGAAGTCAAGTATGACTAAGTATCTTAATGTCTTACCATTGCTATATAATTACAAAGCATGCGTAGCTGTACTCAATCTGCTCTTATGCTTCCTTTTGTGCCAGAACGTTAAATTTCATTGAATGCGCGAAACTTATCAATTTGTTTATTATGAGATTGACTTCACCCTGGTTTTGAACAAATGGCTAGATAGTATTTTGGTTTGGTGGTTTATATATATATCTTGAAATTAATATCAAAAGCTTTTTTATATTAATATTTAAGATGTTCATGATATGATGCTTTTTCATCAGGGAGGCTCTATCTCCGGGAGGAGTTACCCAAGAAAAACGTTGAAAGCCACAGGCAAAACGTTGAAGAACTAAATAAAATAATATTGTGCACGAAGAATGCAATAATCTCTTCAGTTGTTGCGGCACTTTTCAAACCGGTTAGTATACAATTTTAATAAAAGCATTATACACTTCTGGACACATCTAATGGTCCACCTTGTATTTTCAGTATCGTTTGGTCCTTGCTAAAATTTTATATTAGGTCAAACAAAAAGTTTTTATGCAGTTTTGAACCTGGCCCATTCGCAATTACATTCAATAGTCTTTTTGCTTTAATTCAGAACAAAGAACTTAAAGAAAAAAAAAGACAATTTGGAGCTTGTGTTGATATCAAACAATCACATGCGGGGCGAGCTAAAAAGACGTGTCAGGGCTCTTGAGTCAGTTGCCCAGACGATGCAGGAGTTGAAAACTGCCATAGAAGAGGAATGTGAGATGATCCCGCAAAATTACATATAGCGGTTGATAAATTCTATGCCAACACGCGTTATTAAATTAAACCTTTATTTGATAAAACATGATTTTTATTCAAAAATCAATTGCCTTTAACGAGGCGCATATCCGACTTGTTAGGCGTAGCTCCATGTCGTATGGTATTCTGAATTCAAATTTAAAACAATACAATCGAAAAAGATGGTAAATCGTATCATTTTTAAAACAGCATGATTAGTTTTTTTCAATCTAGCAATCATATTTCAGTAAGGACCATCGAAACCTAAACTCTAAGGTAAGTCAATAGATGTGTCCAGAAATGTAATAGGTTCTTCTACCTATATATGCCAAGAAAAATCAACTACCGCTGTCTCTGGGCAGCAGCGTAACGTAGCGTAGATAAACTTTTTGACTGCACGGTTGGCGCAGTGGCTGGGCAACTGGCTGCTGAGCAACGTGTCGCGGGTTCGATGACGGCATGGTGTTATTTTGTACTGAGTAAAATTTGATGCTCCTTCTCGCCCTATCATCTCTCTGTATCTCGACAGAAGGAATTTACGGATTTTCCACCCTAAAAATGTCACATCAATATGTTCATACACATGTAGTTTTACAAAACGAAAACGATTTAACGGAATTAAAACCTAATGAAAAAAACAATTAATTAATGTTTTATTAAACATTAATTTTAAACATTAATGTTTTATTAAACATTAATTTAAAATTAAACACCAATTAAGTTAAACATTAAACATTAATTTAACCTAATTGGCATAAATTATTAATTTTAATTATTTACTTTATTGTAAAAAGGTAGATTACAAAATATAATCTTAAAATCAAGAACAAATTTCAATTGAATGTATAACACCAACTTGATGTTCCTATTTCGAATTTCAGGGTTTGCTGGCTATCCAACTTCATGACGTTTCTGCCGAAAATGCTGTGTCAACACTGGTAACAGCAGATGCCTCGTGATATAGATAATATAAGATATCACTTCTAGGTTTTTGTAATCTGTCAAAAAAATAAGTTTAAGGACTTAATCTCGTGTATTAACTGAGAGAAACTCGTATAGTTTGAAGTCACAACGGCAATTCTGTTCGTGAGCAGCGTGCGCGTCGCGACATTACGCAGCCGACTGATTACTCTCTTGTGCGCCCATCGCGCTCTTTACCGACAATCGAGAGCTTGCTTCCAACTGCGACAGGACGCCGCTCCTGTAAGCGACAATAGACGCCCGGCGCGTTTAGCGGCGTCGGTTTTGGTGTCTCAAAATTAGTATTACATGCCACGCTTCCCTTGTCTCAGTCCAAGTTGTAGCGCTGTAGATCGACGTACATTTCAAGCCCGGCTATAACCGGGTGGTACTCTGCCTATACACCGTTTCTGTTAAAACACAGACGGCGTTTTATCTTGATGGCCTTCCGCCGTTCCCGCGGGATGATGTATTTCTGCCTTGCTTGTATGGAAACTTTCGAAATGCGTGAATTGGACCGCGTCCTAACCAAAACGTGCTCAACCATTGCCGATGTCTTGTTATCTTCGCCACGTTACGTAGGTACACGTTCCTTTACCCTGGTTGTAATATTACGGCGAGTTTCCCTGATTTAACCTGTGCCTTTAATGCACAGATCCATTCGCTGTACCCGCAGTACAGTACATCGGAGAAACTCACCGCAATATCGCAACCAGGTTAGAGGAACATATGCATAGCGTGAAGGAAATGAATTATAATGAACCATGCATAGTCGGTGGCCAAGCACGTTTGTTGTACAGACGCGGTTCCTTCCATACGTTTCGATTAGGTCTCCGTACTAGCAAGGTAGGAATACTTTATGTCGCAGAAAGTACAGGATGCCATCGAGATAAGCCGTCCGTGCTTTAATAGAGACCGTGTCTAGACAATGTCACCCACTTACAAACTAGGCCTGAAATCTTATGTCGTTCTCGAGCGTTTTCAAACTTGAAGTGTGACTCTGTAACCGTGGCATGTACCACTGATTTTGTGAACACCAACGTCGCTTAACGAGACGAGCCTTTAACGTCGCTCCTAACACCGCCGCACCCGTCACAGTTGGAACAAGCGCGCGCGTTTGCCAGCATAGGACGCGGTGGGCGTACAAGTACAGGTTCGAGTCACCAATCGGCTCCATGACATCGTCGCGACGTGCAAGCTGTTCATGAAATGTAATGTAGTGATCAAGGGGTTTGTAGGCTACAGGCAGGCAGTTTCAGGTCACAGCAAGTAAGTCTCGTTGTGACCTGAAACTGGTAGAGCTTGTCTTAGTTCTGATGAGTAAGTCGTTATTGTTAATTATTATTGTTAACTATTACGTTCTACATACGCGACACCTACGTGCATAGCCTACAAGCCTCTTGATCTCTACAATGCAGGAATTCATTAAAAAATATAATTTGAAAAAGCCATACTTCTCTGTAAAGATACAATTCAAAGTGCAGTGCTCCTCAAAGGCTGAAGTAAATATAACACACGTAACAAAATTTATACATGTCTTAAGGATCATCAGGACAATCTAAAATTTTACGATATCATTCTTCAATAATTATCCGTAATGCTAAAGCTCAAATCTTAAAAAACAGCTGAAGCCATTCCTGCATTCTTTTTTTATTGTCTGTAACGGACACAAAACACTTTTTAAAATTATTCTTAGAATCTAAGACTCATTTAGATATATCTAAATAAGTCCTAGATTTTGAAAATCCAGTCCTAAAGATTCGATAAGTCGAATTATCCTAAGAAACGGGTTTCGATTTCCACTCTTATTACGTGGAACTAAATGATATAGATTCTTAAACATTATTCACACCAATCCCGTGCTGGTTCATCTACATAAAAAATAGACTCATTTTATTATTGGAAAAATTCAAATACTATAAGATGGGGCTGACTTAATATAAGTATTTGTATTTACTCTAGAATATTACTAAGCATTGTAAAATATTTTATACATTAAAAATTTAATTAATATTGATTATTGACTGTGCATTGCAAATTAACATAAATATTGACAAAAAATAATGCTGTAATTAAAACTGTAGGCCTACCATGACGCGTGTCTTCTCAGTCTTCCGGCCGAGAAAGAGGGAGGAAGCTAAGCTGTAAAAGGTGTATAGCTCCATCCCTCTTTCTCGTCTGGAAGATTTACGCTTCAACACGTCATGGTAGGCCCTCTGAACTTGAATATACAGTTACTAATTAAGGCAGTATTTCACTAAACTTGTATTGTTCTTTTATTTTGAGTTTATTTATTTCCGTCATTAAAAGTAACTAGTTAAAAATAAGTTCCTTACATTTTTGCGATTTATATCTGCCAACTACTATGGTTCCCATTAGTAGTACTTAGGTGTTGATGCTAAATCTACATATGTAACCGAAAATGTATTTGTCAGTTTGTGATTAAATGATTACCTATAAGAATTAAGTGTTTTCTTAAACTTTTATCAGTGAGTACAAAAAGTTTGTGATAACGTAAAGGAAATTAATAAACGAAGAAACTTTGTCCTTATACTTATTCAGTACTGTAAAACTGGGTCAATATAATTCGAGGGGTGAATAGACACAATAGAGGGGTAAATAGATACTAGGGAAATTCACTAACATCTATTCACCTCATTTTAAGGTATATGTATATAGTTTATATAAATAGTTATTTTATATAAATATATTTATAGTTTTTTTAATAAACTTTATCGAATGTGGTATGATAAACCCTGATGACAAAGAAAAAAATCTTTTACTGCAAATGCTAATAAATTTAAATATATTTAATATATTATTCAGCATACAAGTTATTAGGTACGTATGTATGTTTAGATAGCTTTTTTCTATTTTGAAGCTTTTAGACTCTCAAATTACAAGATACCTAGGTACTATGTGACTGCCGTTATGGAAATCCTTTGCGAGCAATGTGAATAATAAAAAAGTTTTATCCAATACTAGATGTATTGTTGAACTTCCCACATTAATCAAAATAAGAGAATTCAAGTCGTTCGTCGGCTCTCTTTTATAAATAAGCCTATAATGTAGTACCAACATTAAATAAATTATATTAAAAAAAATATTGAAAGTTGGCTAAGCATGTCTCGATTAATATCTAGGGGCCCACGATTTTGACTTTCCAGTAAAATGCCACCTGAAAATAGTAAAACTAAATTTACTAGAGGAGAAAAATGTTTATTTATTCATCTAATTGTTACTTTCAGTTTGTTATTATTAATGATAATTATATACTTCGTACATCTCTGTCTCGTGAACCATACAAAAACAGACGCGTTGAAGATATACAGGCGGTCATACGATAAAAGTAAGCTTTTACTCTAGTTTCGCAATTTTAATGATCTTTTATCAATCTTAATACGGATGACGACATTGCTCACTACCGGAACTGAGAGTAGAGAATAGGGCTCTATGTATTAGATGTCCCCCTGCCTCCCTTCCTCTTGCTATTAACCAAATAAATTCAATTTCTCAAACACCAAATACTTAAGTCGTTTTTGAAATTTATAGAAAGATTCGTTGCGAGTCCCTAAGTACATGTTAGTAACTTGGATTTCTTATTCGACTGATGAACTTTGATTACTTAAGTTGAAAACTCTTGTCTAATTGGTTCACACTGGCATACAAAATATAATTTGGTTCAAAATAACATAAGTTTCGATATTCGACCCAAATTAGCTACGAGATGAGCTACGTACTGCTACGCCGTAGTACGTTGTGTTAGTTATTAATTTATGTCTATTTACAAGTTGTGGAGTGCAACATTATTACTTGATGAAGTAAAAAAACAAAGTGGAGAATTGAAAACAACTGTATTAATTAATAGCCTTGGCTTATAACTGATGAATAAACTATTCAATAGTAAAAGTATTTACAAAAATATTTTTCATGCACATATTACAGTTATTTGAGAAATAATTTAATTTTTTTTTATTTATTAAATAAAAGTGTAAGATTTGATAAATTTTATCGAATGCTGCCTTATTATTGTTTTCTAAATTGTTATGTATTCTGAACTGGAAAAATACTACAAATAGGACAAATTCGGATTTTTGGGGAATAGTTATCGAAGGTTTTTTGGGTACAAAAGTAGTATATATATGGTACAGCTTGGTTAAAAAATGTGGCAAAATTTAGGCAGCTCTACAGTCATATCCCAAATACTGTGGGTTTACTATACTAGTCTTGTATTCTTTTTACTGTTGACATTTAAAATCCAAACTTTTATTATAAATGCGAAAGTAACTCTGTCTGTCTGTCTTTTTTTCACGCCTAAACTACTGAACCGATTTCTGTGAAAGGTCACGTCCAGAAATTATTTTTATTATTTTATAAATCTAACCAGATTAATTTAAATATATGTGGACAGACTTCTCAAACCTAGAGCTTCCATTTAATTTATATATTTAAAAAAAGATTAGAGCTTTGAGCATAAAGACGGTCATTTTGTTTGTTAAAATGTTGCTCAATTGTAAAAATTTTCTCATCCGAAATCAAACCTCCCTTTGCGTACCGCTTCAGTAGTTGCTTAGATTTTATCACCCTATTCTTTTTTAAATTATCATTTAAAAAATGTCCAGTGCGTCTCTTATAGGCTGCAAGTCCTAAGTCGTCTTTTAAAATACGCGACATGGTTCTAGGTGCTATCTTCATCTTCCGAGATAAAATCTTTTGCTTTCAGACAGGATTTCTTCGAATTCTTTCCCTTACTGCTTTGACCACCTTTTTCGTACGAACACTACGTGGACGGCCCGATCTTTTTATGTCACAAACAGAGGAGGTCTCATTGTACCTATTAATAGCACGGTACACAAACATTTGACTAATGCCAAGCGTGTGGAGAGTTTTAAAAATTGCATTTGGCTCCATACCTACTTTGTGTAATGCAATCACAGCGATTCGGTTCTCTTTATCACCCCACTCCATTTTAATATCGCAAAATATTGAACAATTTATCGGCGCCAAAATAAGAAAACACAGTGAAAAATTATATAAAAATGACAGATTCCAAATTCAAATGTAATATTTTGTTTATTTTTAATTGTAACAGTATTTATGGCTAGACTATGTATAGACTCAATAAACTCATGTTACTGATGAAATAAGGAATTAGTATATAAATATAATAACTTAATTAGCATATTTCTGATAAGCAATGTCAATCGGAGGCCAAATTGTTGCCACTTCAGATTCGACTACATATCTCGAGTAGACTTAATATAATATCACTGCTCTACGAACGAATAGTTTTAATCAATATGAATATACAAGTAAACATTAATCGTTGATAAATTTTGTAACAAGCAGTGAAATAACACGACGGAATTATTTTTTTGACACAGAAATTACCGGTAGCGGAAGTTTTAATAGTGTTGCCACAGCAAACATTTCGTAGTTCCAAATGTCACCGCATAAGATTCTTCCTGAGCTGTACTATACTATTTTTGTACCTCTCTCAATATACTCATGTCACAAAATTCTCTAAGGTGTACAATATTATTATTGTTGTTTGTTCGTTTCCTATCACATACCATAGAAGACGTCCGAGAAGCTGAAATACACACACAGTGGCCTGTCGAACAAATTAAATCTATTTATTCGATTATTATTGTAATAACCAATCTAACCAGTTGCACTGTGCATAATTTGTATGCGCTAATTAATGTTTTCTTTTATTTTAGAAAATGCCAGGGAGTAATGGTCTAAATATCATGCCAGAAAAAGAGAACGTAAGTATCATATTATTAAAACATGTCTAGCATGTCAATGTTATATTTATATCTTAACTGCTGGGGTTCAGTGGCGTTTTACTATTATACGGTATACCATTTCAAAACTTCCTGTTAGTATTTTTTTGTAAATATAGACACACATGTACCTATGTTAAGCAAACCAAAGGGAATTAAAACATAACTAAACTTTTGTTTCCTATTTCAGGGATTGATGGCTACCCCCAACTTCATGACGTTCCTGGCCAAAATGCTGTTGAACGCCGAGTCAGTGGTACCACCAGATGCCTCGTGATATAGATAGGGGTTGGTAACCGAACTGAATGTAGATATAGTAAGTAGGTATAAACTTAGAATAATTAAGAAGAAATGTATACAAAGCTGACAAATGCTAAAAACTTTTGAACTAATCATATGTTTTGTTACAAATGTAGAAAAATATGATTTTATTGTCACGATGAAGTTATTAACTGAAATGCAGCACGATTACAGTACGGCCGACGTATCTTGGCGAGTCTGAAGTTAGCTGTTTGTCTGCGCAATGGATATTTTAGGAACAAAATTGTGTACTGCGCAGCTACTCGGCTAACTTCAGACTCGCCAAGATACGTCGGCGCTATTGTACAATAGATAATCATATGATATAGTAGCCCAAAGAGATTATTTTATTATTTATGACTATGCAGGATTCTAGATGGGTTTTTGTAACATTATTTGGGACTGACTCGAGTTGTCTATTAAAATCCTACCGTTTTAAATGTTTTGTTATATTTTAGAGCAGTATGAGAGTAATATGACTAATAATTTTTATATGACAAAAACAATTTTTTACAGTTAAAGCACACCTTACCAAATCTGATTCAGAATAAACTGGTTTGGCCTAGGCTAAACTAGTTTCAGTAGACGATATGACAATCCGACATGGTAGACAGATAGGACAGAAATAGGAGCCCAGTACTCCGGCTTCGTCACTATGCACTAATTTAGATTTTGACAATCCGAAAACTGTCCCACAGAAACCTAGTACTGTTTTCTGAATAACCAACACCCAGTTATTAATACACACATCTCGCAACTATTGTCAAAGTAAAAAACATTTCTTCCTACATACCATAATGTAATATATTCGAAACGTCAAATAGAAAAATAGTCCGTCAGTCTGTTCGTCAGTAAACCAGGTGGTGTAAATTCAAATAACAGTGACAACAATGTAATGTCCGGTCTTCTTTAAAATTATAATAGAAACATTACATACATAATTTCAATTGGTACCATAAGATAGGTGTCACACGTCATAAAAATACATTTATACTATATTTTTTGGCTATTTATATTTATTTGCATCTTTAACAGTCAATTCTCCACTTTGTTTAGTATGTAGTTTATAATATTTGTGTATTGAAACAATAAAACATTAAACGCCTTTACATCGGTCAGATTTTTGTAGACAGCCTTGTAGTCAAGTTGTATTTCTACAATTTATATATTTCATGAATAAAATAATCTCTGTTGTCTTAAACTATTACCTTTTACCTACCTATTACTACACAGAGTAACATAAAACACATTTTAAAAAATCAACAGGAATTACAAACGCTAATTTTCATTTATTTTATCCAAGAGCGGTTTTTCGTTACTGCTGCAGAAAATAATGTCACAAACGGCGAATGCGCTATTAACGCGCATCGAGCTGGCTGTTTCGTGTTCAAACGCCATTTTTCGGATATTTCTATAATCTTGAACACGTGATAAATAAAAAAATAATTCAATAAATTTGATAAAACAATAATTAACTGTTGCAATTAACTATCTATACATAAATATATTGCAAACTACCCTTAATAAAATTTGTTTTAAACTGAAGTCGGATACGGGCTCTAGTTATTCATCAATTAACCAGGCCAAACATCTGATATGTTGATATTGGTTGGTACAAGAAGTTCTTAATGGAAAACTTAATAAGAACACAAATACTCCCCATATTTCAAAATGTCAAAGCTTCTTTTTTTATTTTTTTTATCGCATCCATAACTTCAGCAATTATGGACATTCAACTTGCCTTTTTACAAGGCTATCTAGTATTTAGTGGCAATATCAAGAAGCAATAAATAAGCCATATTAGATTATAAGATACATACTTATCTCTAATACAAGGATACTTATTTTGTAATAATATTTATATTTTCTTAGTAATTTGTAACAAAACATATGTCTGACGGTAAATAAACATCTTAAAAAAAAAACCTATTTAACAAGAGCTTTTTTATAAAGAGATGACGAATTAGGACATTAACGGTGAATAAACTGTAACTGTAACATCTAGATTTTTGTAATCTGTCAAAATCTCAACAAAGTTTGATATTCATGTTTTTATTAAATCTCTACTTAGTAATAATCTTGAAACATACTAATGAAAATAACGACTGAGAAACGCTCTTCCAGTTTTAAGTCACGACGGGGCTCTTTTTCACGCAGCTGGAATTGCGCCTGCTACCGTCAAAGGCGTGCGCTTGCTTCCAACTGCAACGGTGCGGTAGCGTTGGTGACGATGTTGACCGGCTCGTTCAGCGGCGATGGGGTTAGGTTCAATTCCTGAGTCGAATCAGTGTTACATGCCACGCTTATTGTGTCACACTCTAAGTTGGGAATACTTGGGGATTGACGTAGATTTTAGGCTCTGTTTCCAAGCGTTTGCCGGCCCAGCCGCGTGATCACTCGACTTGTCTTATCAATGAGTCTCATTTTGACTTGAAACTGGTTGAGCTTTTCTCAGTTAATTCACGTTTTCTTTTAATATTCAATATTACTTTAGTTACGTGTCTAGCAAGTCTTGTTCTATTCATTGAGATTCAGCTTGGTTGCCATTTATTCGATAAAAAGTCTTAAACATGAAAAGTAATCAAACTGAATGTAATTCAAAGTTTTACAACATCTATTATATAAACGATTTGTTAAATTGTTTCCCAAATAATAAGAACAGAAACATTTAGGTCGTATCTGTAACTGCAAGGAAAATGTTCTTAGAAATAAAGAAGTAGGTTCAGGGTAGAGCTGGAAAGGTAAAAGGGGCAAAAGATAGTAGTAAAGGTCTCTAGAACTTTGTTGTTGACAGGTTACAAAAAATGACATCTGACAGACAGATTTTTCGGAGATTACACACTCATGCATAGGTTTATATGATAAAGGTATTGTTTCAGAGGGTACGATTATCGCGTAGCTCGGTGAAATTGAAATACTAAGAGGTCATAGATACAATATATTGTCTAATTATTGTTGTAACATAATATTAACAGTACGAATGTTTCCAATTTTTATGACACATTCTATCTATAGGTTAATAAACTAAATATTTTACTTGGGGTGCGTGCAGAAGACCTCCCCGTGCGTTCGGCGGCTGCTGGTCCCTTGTGGATACGTCCGGGGGGAAGAGCAGTCGTTGGACCGGTGCACCCTGGGTACGGACAATAATCACTTCGCGTAAGAGGAGTATTATTGTCCGGAGCTAACTTCTGCAGGAGGGGTCACTCCTGCCCCGTCGTCTTATTCGATTTGGTGAGGACGTGACCACACCCTCTTAGGCGCAGGCGCGTCAATGCGGGGTTCGTTTGTCTCCTCATTCATTGAGGAACAAAACCTTTCGGCGGGTCCGCTGAGTCGGGTTGGCCGGACAGCGGACGGAGGCATGTCTTAATGCCGCCGTCGGGGGGCTTGGCTTTACCGCCCGGCCCCAGAGGAAGGACACCTCTAAGATAAAAAACCACCCAATCCCAAGTTTTGGGAGCGCGGCGAGGGGATGAATGGCCGTTGGGTGTACGGTCGTTAGCGCTCCCACCTGCTGGTACCTGCCGCCCCCAGCAGTATGTAGGCTTACCCGGGTACTTAAGCCTCTGCCCGGGGTTGACATTTCTTTGCTTTATACTCGTGGGAACACTATGGAGAACCTACAAAACCAAATAAAAAATGACGAAGTGAGAGACAAAGTACCTCTGGTACTAGTTGAGCCAATGGGCGTGCTGTCGGACTCGGACAGTGCGTCTAGTCACATGAGTGTGGCGAGTGCCGTAAGCGTTAACTCGAAACGCTTACGTAAACGCCCGAGAGAGAGTGCGATCTCAGGGTCGGAATCGGCCCTAAGCGACACAGCGGTGCCGGCCCCCAAGGTCGGTGCCAAAAAAGCAGGGAGAGGTAGGCCTGCTACTACCGGCAAATATGCTGGTATCGGCCTATCCAGGCGTGAGGCTGCGGCTGCAATGAGAGCCGCAGCAAGTGCTGACAAGCTGGAGGAGGACGAGCGGCAGATTGCGGCTCTAACAAAACGGGTGACGGAAGGGAGAGTCACTCGCCTGTCGGAATCGTCATCTGTCGTCTTGGATCTAGGAGTAGAGGCAGAAGAGCTCCCTGCCTCCGACTTAAACCAAAGATTGGCTGACGCGGTTGCAGCCATAAGACGGGTGAGCAAGGTCTCGAAGGGCCTTAGCGGCTGCAGCAAGAAAGCACTCAAAGAAGCCACGGCCTCCATCATGGAGAGTGCGCAGTTACTTATGACTCGCACGACAGCCGAAGAGACGACCTTGCTGCGGGCCCAAAACAAAAAGCTCGCATCACAAATGGCGGAGCTCCGCAAGGAGCACGAGGAGCTTAAGGAAGAAATGGCCAACTTTCGGCGCGAGCAACTTAGGCGGGAGGTGGGCCTTCCGCCTACAACAACGCCACAACAACCACAGTTGCCGTCGCAGGATGCGGAGTTGACGCGCCTGATCCGTCAGGAAATGGCGAGTTTCAACGCGCGTTTTTCGGTGCTTGAAGGGAGGATTCTGCGTCCTCCTCTAGCTGGAGACCAGGCCAATTCTCAGGTACCAACATACGCAGCCCAAGCCGCAGCACCCCGTGCCTCCAAATCGGCACCAGCGGCGGGTGCCGCACAAAAGGCACCCCATGCCGCACAACCATCACAAGCGGGTTCTGCCGGTCACAAGAAGACCACCCCGACTGCCGCCTCGCAGAGGAAGGCAAAAAAAGAGGCCAAGCTGGCAAAAAAGGCAGGTAGCACATCTCGCCCAGCCACCAGCGAATCCGCTACCAGGCCTGAGGCGGAGTGGACGGTTGCGGGCGCCGCCAAAAAGTCGAAAAAGGCGCGCCGACGGGCCAAAAAGCAGGCCCAGAAGGTACAAGTGGCTGCCAAGCGCCAGGCCGCGAGGCTCACCACACCTCGCTCTACTGCAGTGGTTCTCACCCTGCAGCCAGAGGCGGAGGAGCGCGGTCTTACATACGCCGGGATCCTGGCGAGGGCGAAAG